CCGTAAAAGTAGAAAGACATATTAAAAACGCGAAAATACTGCCAAAATACCGAGCGACCCTACCTCTGCTTGGAGAGTAGCTATAAGTAGTAGAAAGCCTAGGAAAAAATTAAGTGTTTCCAGTTACAAGGCTGAGTTACAAAACTGCCTTTTTTTGGGTCAACTGCTGGCAATTGCAGGGGACATAAATTAATTTTCGACCTGAAACTAACAGCAGAATTCTCTCTCTCTCTCTCTCTAAAATAGAAAATCAAATGTCAGAATTAGAGGGTAAAGGACACTGATAAAATCCCTAGCTTGAATAGAGGGTTGAACAACAATTAACAGGTGCCAGACGATACAGAAAGGCCTCCGCTGCGAAAATTGCCCGCTAGTTTCCCCACCCAACAGCCTAGAAACATCAGGATGAAAGATCCCTTTCCAACCCTGTCAGGAGGAAAATCTGGATGAAAAGATGAAGTAGGAAGCCATTTGTCTGGGCCTGACAACTCACAATGTAAATCCTGATTTTTTTCATGGTACTTTTATGTTTATGGTTTTCACAGTCATTTTTTAAATCTATACGGTAAACTTATAATTACCATTATCCATCCATTTGTCTTTTGACCCCCTCTCATGCCAACATAAGCATGTTCCGTGAAAATGTCCAAATTCCTCAGACCCTGAAATTTTGCTACTGTGAAGACAAAGCGAATTACAGTAAGCCTTCCAGTCAGGAACTGAACACACTGCCAGAAAATGCTGATATATAACGGAAAGATTTCAAGCTATCAAAAACCACAAAGCGCCTGATATTCGGTCATTTCAAAGACCAAAATTTCCGTGTACAGTGTATGCTATTTGCCTCCAATCAACATTCGTTCTCTACAAACCTTAAGCTTGAAAAAAAAAAGTGAAATGCACACATACTTAAATCAAGTCATAAATCAAGCTGAAAATCATCTTCTTTCAATTTTTGTCGCAGAAACTCATCCTAGTAAACCCCTTTGTATAGCCTCAAGGAAATGGTCAATCTTATTACCTATCCAGCTGCACCCTTTCAAAAGAAATCAACCCTAATCCACACGATCATTTCCGCTTGCAGAGAGAGATGCATATGCTCGCTACAGGCCAGCACAATGAAATTTAGCACAGCCCTCCAACTAACTATAAGATCATTCATGTGTTACTTATATGGATTCTGACACAATTTAGTGGCAATACTTTATCCTTTAATTTAGCACGGCCCTCCAACTAACTACTGTAAGTCCAGTTATGTTCACGAATGCTTTATTTCACGAGATGGAGCAATTTGGAAGTTCACGAGGTCTATGACTTCGCGAGTCGGTAATTTTTAACAAGGCGTTACATGTCTGCAAATTTACCGACAGTCAAGAATTTTTTTTCCGCGTGAGGTACGTGCGAGGTACGCGCGGTTAGAACATGGTTCCGTGGACATGACACTGTCCAGACTGAAGCCCATCCATGCGAACTGGGTCCTGGGAGCATTGGACAGTATCGCCAACAACATGGACATCGCCAGGGGATGGGACCGCACAGAGATCTGAGCCGCTGTGAGCCGACGGGCGCGTGAGTAAAAACAAAAGCCGCCGCCATGTTTGAACTTTCGGCTCGCAAATGTTGCCAACTTCTGCACAGTAGTCCTCGCGTAAATCATCTTTAGTTGTGAAATTTTAGCGCACTGTTCTATAAATTTGCTGTTTGGTAACGTTTTAAACCATGTTGATTCAACAAGTTGTAAAAAAAAAATAAAAAAATCAAGCAAACTTAGACCATTAGACAACGCGCTATGTAAACAAAGGCCGCCATGTTGGATTTCTTGTAATTTGTCGATCGGCTCGGCAGTTACTCGGCGGTAGATTTTCGTGCAATTCTTCCCTATAGATACCTGTTAATGTTGTATATGTAGCGTAAATTTTCTTGGGATGTATGGAAATCTTGTGAAATGATTTTTTTGCGTGTAGCTTTGGTGAGTAACGTTGAACTCGTGTAGTTTGATCTCTCGAGGTATAGACAAAGACCCACGCTATCCCGCTTGGTTCTATTTTTTTGCCGATTTTCCGTACCGTAAATAATTCTGCTTTACATGGCTTGTACACGACAACAACTTTTTACCGATGTATGTTGTAAAATTCCGTATGTACGATGTTGCACATGTTTACAGCTGTTCACCGCTACGTTATCGCCGAACTAGCGTTCTTGTTAAAACTGATGTTGTCTAGTCGGCTTTGTAAACTTTTACCGTTCTTCGCAAGAAACACTTGTATTACCAGTAACAAAATAATGACTCCGTGAACCATATGCTCATTGAATAAAGTTTATTTGATTCTGAAAAGAAGTCTGCTGTTATTCGTTGAGTCTTGTCATTTACTAGTACTACGTAATGTAGAAGTTGTTAGTATAGAGCTGAGACGCACGATGTTTGGGGGAGGGGGGTGGTACGTACCGAATGGGTTCGCGAGGAGGTGAGTTCACGAGAAGAGCGTCTTCGTGAAAACCGTGAACTTAAAGATTTCGTAATCAAAAATGGACTTACAGTATAAGATCATTCATGTGTTACTTATATGAATTCTGACACAATTTAGTGGCAATACTTTATCCTTTGCACATTTTTGTGGCAATACCTTTTTCCGTTGCTCATTTTTGTGGCAATATCTTATTCTCGTATCAATAAAAAACACATTATTCATTCCCTTTTTTATATTTGCATAGGCGCACATGAAACATGTTTGAGTTAACTTTTGAATGCCCGTGTGGTAACCATTAGAACCCAGTGTGATATAGGTGAGTAATCACATGGGCCGGAACACCCTTTAGAATGTTATATAATACACACCTGTAAGGATTAGGGCAGTTATCACACGAGCCAAACTGGAACACTTATATACTAATATCACGGCCCAGGTATGATATAAAAACACACCTATAAATAGTATAAGGATTAAGGCAGTTATGATCACACGGGCTAAAACACCCTTGAGAATGTTATCATGGCCCAGGTATGACATAAAAACACACCTGTAAGGATTAGGGCAGTTATCACAGGGGTAATGTTATCGCTGTGCAGGTATGATATAAATACACACCTGTAAGGATTAAGACAGTGTCAGTCTTACCTGTGGGTTCCTGTACTGGGAAGAGCCCCTGAGGAGGTGAGAAGACGTCATGGTGGACTGGAGAAAAACAAAACAATAGATATTAAACTTACAGACACGGAAATATCAACAATCTACATCTAACAGTTTGAAACTTAGTAAACTTGAAATACATCTAACAGCTCTTTATTGGTAGAAATCATTCTGAAAAACTTGAATATGACTCACTGTACATGTATTTACTCCATAAATGCTGAGGCCATTGACAGGATTTTTCAGGTGTTAATTCTCCTATCAAAAATTGTAAATTCTCCTATCAATAATGGAAAAATGTGCACAACTGACAAGATATACCTGTCAATAGCCATTTCCATCCATAAAACTGAATGGGGCAAGCTTAAACCTGGTTCTCTCTTTGTTCTCATAGCACATGTATTTTTTTTTTTCGGTTAAGCATATTTTTTTAAACCTGAGAACCAATGAATAAAATTTGTGTGTCCCAAGCCTGTCAGGGACCAGTATGCCCATTTGTCACACCATGATGGCAGACATGATTACAATCTGTCCTGTACAGATAGGGGTGAGTCTGCCTGCCAGGTCACCTTCACGGGAGGGGGGTAGAAAAAGAGCCGTAAATATCTGCTCACATTAGCATTTATAGGAGTAGTGCAGTATATCAATGATACAGGGCTTTAAATAACACCTGTATATGCAGGTTAGGGCAGGTAAATTTGAGTCTGATGTCTTCCTGCACCTAACCTGTACCTGCCCTGTATTGGGCATTAATTTTCAAGTGACACTGTACATATATGTTTGTACATGTGCATATATTGTGCATCTTTGTTTACTGTATTTTTTGTTACTACCTTTGAAATGTTAGATAAAGAATTGAAATGATTTTAAAACAGTTGCCAGTATGATTAATTTTATAGTTTATAAAAATCAATTCTCCAAGCTGCGAAAGTACAATTTTAAGTTGCCATTTTACCTGTACTAGTGCAGGCATGCAGAAAAATGTATTTGGAGTCCTAGCTAGGATATAACTTACATACATGGGTATATACAAAATTTGCTACCATCTAACTATAAATACATCAATGTTAATCTTATCACTGATATCAATCATAATCACTCTGATATTATCCATATGCCTATATCCAATCAAAGATGACCTATATACATATATGAAGAGGAAAATATGTAGGTCGCTCCTGAAAGCCATGACTGATCGTGATTGCTCAAACTATTTACTCGGCTTACAGTTCCTCATACATAAAACATGGCAGGCGACTATCTTGACTTCACTGAACAAATATTTACCTACAACTAGTGAACTACAATACATGTCTTTCTAGGCTACTGTGTTTCTAAGATCTCATATACATCTAACATAATAATTTTATATCTAGGCAAAGTCTTTAGACTAAATTAGAGATGGACTAATATGGCAGTTTGCAGAGGTTTATATGAATGATCTGTGAGAAAATGGACTAAAATTATTGGTATGCTTTGATATAGGAGGACAAGGATTTATACAAAATATAGGGATTTCCAGTTGATGTTGGATATAGATGGACTGCAATGCTAGTCATAACTTAGAAATGATGTATTTTATAAAGATGGAGGAAGTCATTGATGAAGGAAGGTCGTCAGAAAACGGTTCCGTTTTCATTGTCAGGATAATTGCAGGGATTTCCAGGTCAGCAGACAGGACACTCCAGCAATTGAGGAAAGGTCAACCACTCAATTTCATACCTGTATGAACATTCTCAACCTAGAGGACACCTAGCATACAGAATGGCTGGTTTACATTCAAAGGCAGTAGTTTGTAATCTATATATGTGTGTCTTCCAGAAATTCTATGCATTTCAAAGCACAAAATGCATGTTCAGAGTGTTTCTTTTTGAAGACTGCTATTAGTGATAATGCTTTACTTTGAACATTGTTGATGAGATTACTAGCCTTCTTGCCAAACCTATTATAGCTACCGGGTCCTACATCCTATTTGCAAAGAGGATGTAGGACTCGGGAGCTATAATAGGTTTGGTATAGGAGAGACTATAGGTGAGACTGCTGCATTTTCAGCATCATAAGAAGGGAACAAGACATGTCCAGACCCATCTAACGATTGCCAAATGTGTGCAGTCAAGACTTTGGAGTCAAGAGCAAGTAGGTGTCAAAGTAATTGACACGTACTTGGCTTACATACAAAAAATACCTTAAAACATACTGTAAGTATAGTGATATATCATATTAGTTTTTCTTGTACTACAACATTAAATCACAGAAAAAATATTCAAGTGGTGTACAGTTGTACATTCAAGCTTTGTTCATAAAGTCCAATACAAAATCATTTTGACCCAAACAGCAGGCAAATTCCATTTATGTAAAAAATTTGAAATTTGACTCACTTCTCTAACAACAAAAACCTGTATTTCCCCATTAATAATTACTAAAACCAGTCAACCAAAGACTCAGACACCCGCTGGCTACACAGCTGGCAAGTTCTGACCTTCACCTCTGACCTCTGACATAACCGAGAGCAAGGTCAATGCCCTTGGGACAAACACGAGACAACAATGGGGCAAACCAAGGGCAGAGACAAAGCGGGGAGGGGGGCGGATAAATGCATGTGTGGGCACTACTGACAAAATACCTGTTGCGTTCAAACAATGAGCGCTGAAACGTATATGGGGATGTTTATTTTTACCTTATCCTAATTTGCATACAGCTGAAGCAATGTTCTAAATGTTTCAGGTCAAGTTCTAGGTCTCACAATAAAGGGAAGTGTTGGTACAACAAGACAGACTTGATACAAATGCGCTGACAGGCTTTTGTTAGAAATTAGTGTCTGGTATTCAATACAAGCTAGATTCAATACCGTATTGTGCTTTAGTGGACTGGAGTAGGAGTAGAATAAGGGAGGAAATTATTCCCCTTTTTGTCTGAAAAGATGCATTTCTGAAAACTATCATCAGATGTCACAGTTACTGTTAGTCATATTTTGAAGGGGCTTGCTTTATCATTTAAATTGAAGTCTTTGTACAGGATACAATAGGAGAAATTTAGTCTAGAATCTCTTTTGATTCACAACATACATTGCAAATAAGGCCTAACTACACTCAAGCTCAATACAAATTTGCGGTCTTACATGTAACAGTTCAGCAGCATTTGACTATGCCTCTTGCTTCTGTAAAATATCTTTTCGACTGGGTTTGGCAGTATTCTGTAGCCAGCAACTTGGTTTCTACCAGTGAAAAAAGCACTTAAAGCAAATAGAGTGAATTGGATTTGATCTAAATTGAATCAGTCAAGGCTAATCAAAACAATACTAACAAAGTTTCTGAATTAAGCAGTGTAATATTTCATCATGTCTGAAACACAGTCTGTTCTGCATTATGATGACTGACAGGAATGTAAACATGGAGATGTCAAATCGGAAGGGCACTTGTAGATAAATATTCATCTTGTAATCCCCATTACTAAGGAAAATAAAGCAAATTACTAGTACTAGGACTATCTCTGGAGATAGCTGATGGTTTCTCAGATAGACATCCTCTTTCAGGACTGTTAGCAGAGATAGAACCAAACATCTCATGATAAAATCTATCAATATGACAATCTGACAGATGGTACATATCATGTGTCATTTATGACAAGAGGTAGGTCATAATAGTTGTTGAAAACAAAAGGATTTTTTTTCGTAGAATGATCGGGCGGAGGCTCTGATGGTCTCCAGGGTAACAGGCTAAATAGGTCAGCTGGCAAATATTCCTAATCAGCAGAGGCACTGGTCTGGTCTGGATGTCTGAATCCATTAGGGGATAATCCAGCAAGAGTACTGAAGGGGGAGGGGGGCTTTACCCAGGAAAACAAAACATGATTGGGATGATTTCGATGCTATCTAAAAGACTTGCAATGAGAGAAGAACTCAAACAGGGCAATTAGAGATGGCAGACTTCACCCCCTCATCCATTCTGACTTGCATATCAGTTTATCTGAACAGTTACTGTAACGTACAGTAAAGAGGCATGATAATGCTGTATTGTGTAAATATTGGAAACACAGACAAGCTTAAATAATATGTCACTCCCATGGGATAAGAAACATTACACATAGTCTACTGGTCAATTTTTGACTGACACAACCTTTATATACTCTACAAGCAGAGGTTTGTGAAGTTGGGCCAGTATATGTATACACCAAGAAAAGCCAATGAAACAGAGAGCTAAAAAATGCCTAAAAAATGTCCCAAACATGCTTAACCTTAGCCTGGGTGCCAGAATATTTCCAGGGCCTCATAGTATAGGCCAGCTCCTTGGTTCCAGGGCCTACATGTCCCCATCAGTTTGCGCTGGCCAACTCTGGGACTAGCCTGCTACAGGTCTATCTGGTATCCAGGCTAGTCTAACCTAGATACTTGTAGAGTTACAGACCCCAGCCCTGATGCCAAGGACCAACCTTGGTTAGTCCCTGCTACATGTACAGATGAAGGACTAATCCTCCAGTTAGAAATCAACACACCCGCCCACACACTACACCACAAACTGGGACATACTGTCTTCTGCTGGTCTACACAAGTCATAACATAATTACAGCACAGAGACAATCTTCTCATTTCAAGACCAAAATTTGAACTGTGGTGCCCAGGTTTTAACATTCTGTCTGCTGTTGTCGTCAGAGCGTAATGAAGTACAATGTCAGCACAAGTTCAAATTTTTGGTTGTGAAATAAGAACGACCGTTGAACCATTGACCATTGAACATAGAAACAAAACCAAAGGTAGAATACTAGATTCATCATCATGCAGTAGCATATATATATACATGCAATATATTTTCTTTTACGATTGACTACATAATCATGATAATGTCCACTTTCACAACCCATTATCAAGCTAGTTACTCGCAATTTGTCTTTGGGCAATAAACTTGCCATTGTAATACAACTTAGTGAGCACAGTCCTGCACTACACTGTTATGCACTCTCCTGGCCAGCTATTAAACAATAACAAGAAATGGAAATTATGAAATTTCATCCTTGTTATAGTAAAACGTTGACCTTTATTGCAACACACA